AATATTACTCGATCGTACAATGCTTGAACAGAACATGAAAAAAGAAAAAAGGAAGAAAAAGAAGTATCTTTTTCTATAGCATTCTCTTTTGTCTCTAATATCTCTGAAGCATTCGTATGAATCAATGTACTGTTAGAAACAATTTAATGCTAGTCAACTACTTTACAATCAGCGATATGATTGCGATATCTGTATAACTATTGCGATATAATCTTTAGATTTGAACTGCATTCTGCTCGTAAATGTTTCGTCAAAAATGTACTTGCTTTCAATCATTCGCACGTATTTACATAGCGAAAAAACATACACTATTCGCTTCCTCGTGTTATAAACAAACGCTTGATCATCTTGAAGTCGGTAGAGATCTAAGATTGCGTACAAGTGCAGACAATACCGCATTAAGGAAGCCGCGACCAAACTTGTTGTGCTTATTTTGTATATCCTTGCTATACATAATATTGAATTTACTAAATATATCTTTGTTCGCGCGCGTCATCTATCGGCATATGGATGTGAAAAGATGACTTGAACAGACGAACAGGTTTTGGACTATATTTTCTAATTTGTATAAGCTAATAGTTTGTGCGCAATGAGTCGCGACACTATAAACGGTTTGATAATTGACCAAGATCAACCATCTCGGTGTCCTCTATACTGTTGGATCCTATCATATGTTGTCTATGTTGCTGTTGGAGATCTAAAGATGGGCGCAAATGAACATCCATTGTTCTAGGTGAAGAAAAGCCATGTAGACCCGCTGCTGCGCCGAAACCAGTATTGTTTAACAATCCTCTACGCGGACTTCTGGCGTTTACGACTTTTGGTTGCGCGTACATCTCCTCCAGAACGCTCGGCGCCACATATGTAAAACCCTGAAATATCATGTTTGCAGATTCACTGAGTGTACTCTCAACCGGCGAATCAACTGGCACAGTCGCTGTAAACTGTTCGTCGAATTGCGACGTGTCGTCAGCACTCTTTAGGGACGGTTTAAACGGCGGATCTAATTTCCGAGCGATTACGTCCTGCCAATTAATGTGTTTGAAGAAATTGTGGTTCTTAATTTGCTCGGCATCCTCCGGACCAGAGCCCAATCTCTGAACAACTTGTCTTTTCAAAAGTTTTCGGATTAGATCTCGGGCATCCGGTGTTAGATATTGTGGAAGACTCAACTTTCCTCGTAAGATCTTTTCAATGGTTTTTCTTCTATCATCACCGGTGAATGGTGGCATTCCTGTAAGCATGTCGAACATCAATGCGCCTAAACTCCACCAATCTACAGCTTTACCATGACCGCTCCTAGTCAAAATTTCTGGGGCCATATATTCTATTGTTCCACAGAATGTATGCGTCACTGTACCCTCTTGTATGTGTTCTTTGCAAAGACCAAAATCAGTCAATTTGACATGACCTTCAGCATCCAGCAAAATATTCTCTGGCTTCAAGTCTCTATATATAATTCCCTGATTGTGAAGATGTTGCAACGCCAGTATAATCTCTGACAGATAAAAGCAAGCCGTGTCTTCTAAGAAAATGCCTTCTCGATCAAGATATGTGAAAAGTTCTCCGCCACATAAATATTCCAAGATTAGATATAATTTGCCACCAGTTTGAAATGCATACATAAGATTTACAATAAATGGATGTTTTACAGCTTCCAAGATGTTTCTCTCAGCCTTGGTATGAGCAGTATCTTTCTGATTTCGTATAATGGATGCTTTACGCAGTACTTTCATAGCAAAAATACCACCCTTGTCCTTCCCTGTAACTTTTCTAACTTGGAAGACTTTCCCATAGCCACCCTCTCCTAAAATTTTACATAATTCAAAATCCTGTGGACCAGCCTTCTCTTGACCAGGATTTACATTCTGTTCGGACAATTGAACTCTTTCCAAATTTTCAGATCTAAAATGTAATTTTATATGTCAATTTACCAATTATAAAAAGTAAAAAAGGAATTACTGAAAAATGAAGAGAACTAAAATTCTTACTCTAGTATGGCGCTTACAGCTGTGGCATGATTATATTCCTCCTGAGAACGAGAATAGAATAGAAAGTTAAGTCTGTTACACCGATGAAAGTCATATCTTGTCTTAGATTTATTTTACCTCTCTGTTCTCGATCACATCATCATCCGATTCGTCTTGATTCGCGGCATCCCCGTCGTGCAGTTCAATGTCGAATACTCCCGCCATTCCAAATATGTCAAATTCACATTGAAAAATCTTGAACGAGTGAGGAAAGATGTATTCGATCTGTCAATGCTTTATCGCAGACGCGGACGACAAAGGCGATGACGATAACGAGAGTGAGAATAAGAGTAAAGACGAGGATAAAGCTGTATGAAAAAATTCAAGTGACATAAACTCCGCGCAGATATGTAGATCAATGTAGACGTGTACTGAAAAAATCGCGAGCGTATTTCAAGAGATTCGCGACTCACCTCGAATTTAGCACGATAACGTACGACAAAATCGTTGTTTCTCTCGTTCTCTCCAGTTTTTTAAAACAATTGCGTAAAATCAAAAAGACAGAAAAGTATTGCCAGGCTCTAATACGATGCACGAGTATATGTAATTGCAAATACATGCATGAACCATACGGCATAAAGTGATCTGTATGTGAGGTGTTATCTTGAGTACAACGTGACGTCACAAGATCCCGGTATGGTCACTCCGCGAAAGAATCGCGTGCCGCACGAGAATCCATCGATGAGATGGACTATTAAGTCTGTTTTACAGACCTAATATAGGCTTGTGTGTCGGCAGAGAGGAACCTATAATAAAAAAAAATTACGCGATGTAAATACATATATATAATTATATATACATTCTCATCTACAATTTGTCGATGTAGCATGGACTCGCACCACATCTATTTCACAAGACATGATTTTATCGGCAGTATCGCAAAATAGATGTGACTTGTAGTTCCACGGCTCAATTATAGACGTTGGTGCCGGTAATATACGGCGAGTTCGACCATGTCAGGAAAAAGGCCGGCTCTCACGTTCCTCTTCGACTATGTCTATAGTTAGCAATTTAGATTAGTCCTACTGGGTGCTTTCCATTTAGTGACAAAATCGACACAAGTATCGTTCTATCTTTTTTGGCTTTCAATTATTAACAAGGACAAAATGATACTTGTGTCACTAAATGGAAAACATTCACTGGCAGTCCATATTTATATAGTTAAGGTCTAGGCCATCGGCAGACATCCTTCTTCTCACTTTATTCTGTCGGTTACGCCTACGTGTCGGTCCACAATAAGTATTTAATCTTTAAGTCGTAAGAAATTGACCAATCATAGTAGATTATTCTTTTCATATTCGGTTATAATTGGTCAATTTCTTACTTCTTAAAGCTTAAATCACCTATTGTGGACCGACACTAATCTTAGCGACCAATAGCGACCTTTTCCGATTATCAGTGATTAATCGGAAAGGTGTCTCAGGTGTCTCTGTGTTCGGTGTTTGATACATTGGGCGACGTGTTCATTATCGTGATTGAAAATATAAAGATGGAATCATGAATGACACGTAATATAATGATGTAACTTAATGATATTAAAAAGTAACTTGATTCTATGTCCGAGGAATATGTTGATGGATCCAAGTGAGTGCACTGCTACTTCCGCTTGAAGAGATCGAATTACACATAAAGTGAGGTTAGTCGCTCGTTTTACTCGTGTTAAATTTAAGTCGTATTTAATTATATCGCTGGACAATATTACAGTATAACACAATTTGTCATAACTATTTCATTTTATAATTTCATAAAACAAACATAGCATTTTCTGACAATTATATTTGACAGATAATGTAATAATTATGCACGTGTGACAAATATAGCAAGATTTATTGGCTTATCCTTCGAAGAGTAGCATCTAACGAGCGCAATATGTAATTCCGTATCGTATTAAAATGACGTAGAAAAAATTGATAAATGTTTCAATTTGGTTACTAATCCGTTGACTGTTGCTCACGCGTTATCTCATGCGAATTTCGCGCGACGAGAGTCGCGAATCGGAAACGATATTTCGTCAGTGACGAAATATGCGCGTGCTCGCATCGTTTCGTCGCATGCGTGCGCGAGCGCGAGTCCTCTAAGTCTCCTCTAAGTCGCCGCGGCCCTGGACTCCTGATCGGTCTCCGCGGCAACAGCAACTTATCGATTCGCCTAGGCGTCGCCGCTGCCGGCTGGCCAGTTGTACGAGCGGCGGATGATGGAGCGGCGAGAGGCGATCAACTAGACGAGGGCAGACACGAAAGACCCATAGGATCCTTGAGACGAGAAATAATTCATTCAAGATTGTTCGCGAGCGTGTCTAACGATCGACAAAATCGACATAGAGAATGCGATGAGAGGAAAGATCTTGTCGAAATTACGTCCTTGAACGAATGACAAATTTGTATTACGCGGAAACCTAATGGCAGCCTAATTAACGATAGAGTTTTTTTGAAGCGAAAACTTGAAAAGTCGAAAATTTTACACGGTGATCTATAGGCTGAATCAAGAATGTCAATATATTTAAACGAATTAGAAATTTCTATAAAATGAAAGAAAGAAGCTGAACTGCGATTTATTAAATATAATAATATGTTGGAAAAAATCGATGATGATGAAAAAATATCCTATTTTTAAAATAGAGAGATGAAGCGAACGACAAAAGGAAAAAGAGAGAAAGCAGGATAAAAGCAAGATTCGACATAATTAAAGAGTCAAGCTCAAGTTATTTAATAATGGAAGAATACGTGAAAGTGAGAGAAGAGAAAAAGGATGTAGAAAAATATTTGAAAATATATAATTTTCTACATTCCTTATACTATAAATAGAGTTGAATGTGCTAAAATAAAAAGTTTTGGCATATTAATCTTAATTTTGAATAGCGTAAACGAATATAATTTTTTGATTATACTAATCTTCTTTAATCACATATTCGCTATTAACTGGGATATTTAATAGGAAAAATTATGATGAACAGTGAATTCGAAATGAGAAGCGTAATAAAACAGGAAAGTGATAATAAAATAGAAAAAAGAGAGGACATATGCCGCCAAGAAGCATGGAAGCTTGGAATAAAAAGGAGGACGGCAAAGCTACGTGACATTAAATATCGATCGATCGCGCGAACGCTGAAAATGTGTGTATACCCGGAATAAATAAAATAGTGAAAGAAGAGCGAGAGCGGGCATGTTAAACGAGAGTCGTGCCAATCGTCGCGCGATCGTCCGGTGCTGTTCCTCACATGCAGGGGACACGCGGCACGTGCCGCCGGAGCATAGAAGATTTCGACGCATACATGGCCTGCAGTCACCACTGCATCCTCAGCAGATTATCGGTTGGATATTACTAATCGTCGTATTCATCGGTACTTTCACCGTGCTGCTGACAACGCCGCCGCTATTACCCAATTTGCGCTTCGTTCTCTTGCTATTGTTCACCGCATTGTTTCTACTGCATGTGTTGGCCCACTTGACAGTGTCGCTGTTAGACCCGGCCGATCCGGAGGTCCGTGCTCGGCCGGCTGGCGTGATCGTGCCAGAGTTCGATCGAACCAAGCATCGACACGTCATCGAAAACGGCCGATGTCACCTTTGCAACATAACGACTCGTAGCCAGCGTACCAAACACTGTTCCATCTGCAACAAGTGCGTGCCACGTTTCGATCACCACTGCAAGTGGCTGAACAATTGCATCGGCGGTCGTAATTATCCAGCGTTCCTAGTGTGCCTGGGGTCGACGCTCATCGTCGCGCTCGCCGTCACCGCCCTCGCCTTGACCGAGCTGGTGCTCGTTAACGCGCATCTTGTCGTCGATGATCAACGTTCGAATAGTTCGGGTGATTCGAATGACGATAATAACGACAGCAGGAACAACAATAGAAACAACGACACGAGTATGAATAACGCTACGACGACGTCACCGTTCGTGCCGGTGCCCGGCACCGGCTCGCTCATTCTCGTTACCATCATCGGCTGTCTTTCGGCCATCGCCGCGGTTCTACTCATACACCTCTGCATCTTCCACGGCTATATCGCCTGCCTCGGTCTTACTACGTACGAATATGTGCGTAGGAAACGGGAGAGAAGCGTCGCCGGTGCCATTGCCAATTCTGGAGCAGTTCCCACTACCGCCGCTGGTTTGTGTGGTACGCCTTATTGTACCGCTGCTGACGGAGAGGACGTTGAAAGCCGGACGACAAGCGGCGCGCGAGGTCTCTATTCTCATTTTTGCGAAAACGGTCCTCTGTTCAAGAACGATACGACGGGCACGATGAGAATGACAATGGCGACGACAGACGTATATGTATGCTCGACGCACCAAGAGAGACGCGACGATCAACTTACGGCGGCAAACGGTAAAGCGATCTGCTCAAAAACGCTGCCCTCGACGAAAAATAGTCGAAATTTTCGTCTTTGTTTCTCGTACGATTCGCGCACCACCGAAACCTCCATCCAAGCTTCTTCCTCGCAAACGATGGATGCGATGGCGGAGTCGAGAAACCATGGAGAATCACCGGATACGAAGTCGTCCTCCACTCCTTCTCCAGTGTCTTGTTGTTTTTCCATCATGAATCATCCTGATGGCAGTAGGCACGACGGACAGAAGAGTCGCACTGGTGAACATCGTGCCGAATCCACGAAACGCTCCTGCGGAACGATGAAAAGAATACAGACTTTTTTGCAAGCTCGTCTGAGGAAAGGCTCGAGACAACGATTAATCGCCTCATCGTCGGCGATTGTTCGTCATTGTGGCAACAAAATAATTCCACAAACCGGCGACAGTCCTCCGGATGTCGCGCTTACCTTAACCGAGGATCAGGATCGAACCGTCGTCGAGACAGGGATGACAAACTTGACGATGCCGTCGGCAGATTTTCCACGTCCACCGACGAGGCTACCTGCCTTGGATCTTTCGCATACCGTCCGCAAAATTAGAAGAGTATCTTCAAGTGCCACTGACATATCCGTCCTGGGGCAAATACCACCCACTGCGATACCTAAACGAAATCAAGCCCACTTCCGTTCACGGCGGAATACGAACTTCTCTAAGAAGAGACCGCGCTTCAAGGTTGGCTCACACGTTGTCACGCAGACTGCTCAACTCTCGCCTATACCAGAGTCGGAGTTCTCGAAACCGGCTACGCCGAGATCGCCGTCACGATCGGGTTCTGCCTTTGCTTTCCCGCCACTACACGAGTAACATTCTGTCCTCGAGGTGCTTTTTAGCAACTTTTAATATAAAGCTCAAATCCAAAAGAGTCCTGTCAAATATACATACTCGGTATATAAGGTCTATTCATTGCTCTCTTTGGATCTGGATATTTTTCATATAGTTTTGTTTTTTTAGAATTTTATCTTTGGGATAGTGTAGGAACGAATTGAATATAAAATATATTTTTATTTGAAATAAATAAAATTTCCTTCCTTTTTTTAATCTATATATATGCATATATGTGATCGTACTGATCGTATAAAAAAGAATAATTAAATTTTCGTTAAAACATAGGTCAAAAGTTTATTAAAAATAAGAATTTAGAATTTTATAATTTTACGTAACAAAATCATCGAAAGAGACATTCTATGTGATCAATGTATACCAATGATACAAATGTTTCATATCGCAGATAACAAAGAAATTAATTTTTTGTAGAAAATGTTAATTTATAGCATAAAGTACTTATAAGAGGAGCATCATGTGACTGATCGGGATATTTTGATGCGCTTTATGCAGACTGTTCTTGGGCGAAAAAAAAAAATGATACGTGTCCGGCCGTTTTTGCCAATGGTTCACAGTTTCGAAGAAATTGATCTTTAAAAAATGAGTCTAATCAGCTGATATTAATATTTTTTTTATAGATTTTTCAAATTATTACAATAATTACTTAAAAACTTTATTTACAAAAATATATAGATATAGTTAAATAAATAGTTTTTTTTCGAACATTTACAGCAATATAAATAATCACGAATAAATTTTTAATAAAAAAAAGTATATGCGACAGGATTTGAACACGCGATCTACCTCGTACAAAACTAATGTCTTACCAACTACTGCCACTGCTCTTGATTGATAGCGATGATCAAATGTATAAAGCGTATCAGCGTCCCGCCCGTATCAGCCGATTAGATTCATTTTTTAAAAATCAATTTCTTCAAAACTGTGGGCCATTGGCAAAAACGATCGGACACGTATCGTTTTTTTTCCGTCCAAAAACAGCCTATATAAAGCGCATCAAAATACTCCGACCAGTTACCTTTGTGCGTAAAGATAAAAATAAAAACTTTGACTTTATGGAAATTATTTATTTTAATGATCAGCCAAACACAGTACCAACACGTTTACCACATGATTATGAGTTCCAAATCGTGCGATTCCGAATGTATCAATCGTAGTGTAATCTGTGTCACTTTATTGGAGCTGCAATGCCTGAAGTGACATTATTACGTCGTGACATGCGACAATTTTTCTTCACGAGTTTTTTTTACATACCGGAAAGAATGAATAACTATTGAATAACTTAGCTCCGAATATCACATAATTGCGAGTAATAGCGAGTCATGCGACCTTGATATGATGACAGATAATGTCCAAGATCACAGAATCGCCTGACAAGAAGGATGTCGCCTCGAAGAAGACTAATGTTTGGGAAGATTTGGGTTCACCGCGCTGTATAGTAGCACCGATGGTGGACGCCAGCGAATTGGCATGGAGGTTGCTCAGCAGACGACACGGTGCCCAGCTCTGTTATACGCCGATGCTGCATTCTTCCGTGTTTTGTCGAGATCCCAAATATAGACGAGAGGCCCTCACTAACACCAGCGAGGATCGTCCATTGATTGTACAGGTCTGCTTCAACTGTGAGATTTCGATTTTATAAATTGTGAAATTAATCTTTAATTGGGTATGAAATCTTTCGAAGGGATTACAAAGAAATAAAATTAGAATTAGAATAAAGGACAGAAAAATATTTAACATGCAATTGTATAATAGTAATCTATTATTTTTAGTTTTGTGGTAACGATCCAGAGATATTATTAGAAGCTGCACACTGGGCTGAACCATATTGCGATGCAATTGACATCAATATCGGTTGTCCTCAAGCAATTGCAAAGCGTGGACATTATGGAGCTTTTTTACAGGAGGACTGGGATTTATTAAAGAAAATCGGTATGTCCGCATCTATATATCATGCATTTATACTTGAAGAGCTTTAAATTTTAGTGTTAATAGATTTCATGTATGTATACATACAGTTTCGACTTTAAAGGACGGATTGCACATACCTGTCACTTGTAAATTACGAGTATTCTCAGAAATCAGTCGCACTGTAGATTATGCTCGTATGCTGGAAGACGCAGGTGCTAGTTTACTCACCGTTCATGGACGTACGAGAGAACAAAAAGGTCCATTGACTGGATTAGCGTCTTGGAAGCACATAAAAGCCGTAAGGTAACTATTCATATTTGTTTTGCTCTTTAAGCATTAATTATTGAATAAACGAAAAAATTTAGTTCTTTTCTTGCATATAATTAGAGATTATAATCAAATCTCCTCCCCCCCCCTCCTCCCTTCCTCTCTATGTGCATGCGTGCATACTTTGCTTCTTTTTCAGTCTTGATAATTGATATATTATTTTGTTTAATTAGGGATGCCGTAAAAATTCCTGTGATAGCCAATGGCAACATACAATGTATGCAAGACTTACAGCGATGCATCGAAGAAACTCAAGTGCAAGGTGTGATGTCAGCGGAAGGAAATCTTTATAATCCATACATATTCGAATCTCGTTATCCTGCCTGTTGGGAGCCTGCTCTAGAGTATCTGGAACTTGTAGAACAATATCCAGTACCAGCTTCATATATCCGTGGTCATTTATTTAAACTCTTCCATCATGTGTATGTATTGATTTTTCGATTATGGTAAATTATAAATAGCGAAGTATAATTCTCAAATGTGCGTACAGCATGCTTTTAACTAGAGAGTAGATTTTGTTTAGCAGAAAATCAAGAAGAAAGAGAGAGCCTAGCCACCAATTCTACTATGGAAGCCTTTAAAAGTGTCACATATGCTTTGAGGGATCGTTATTTACCGTACCATGAAGGACATTTGACGTGGCAAACAGGAAAGACGGGTAATAATTTTATGCTCATAGAATGTTATTTATATTTGTTGTGTTCATTTACACGTATTTTGTAATTTTTTAGATTATAATTTAGAGTTACCACCGTGGTTGTGTCAACCTTATATACGAGAACCACCACAAGAATACATACAGAAATTGCAGGTAAACGAATCAACCGTACACAACTATAAAAATATTCTTTAAAAATAATTATACAAATTTTTAGGAAGGTGCACCTCGAAAACGTGAGTATAGGGATGAGGATGGAAACGAGATATCGCGAAAACGTTCAAAAAAGCTTAAACGGATAGCACGTAGACCGAATAGAGCAACCCCAATTCCTAAGAGAAGTTCAGATCGATGTCATGCTTGTCCGAATCCTCTGGTTGGTTCAATTACTTTCAAATATAAAAATTTTTCTTGTCACATTTTGCTATTTAGAATATATCCAAAAATGATATCGACGCTTAAAATAATAAAACATTTAAAAAATTCTAATGCGTTATTTTTAACTGTAGGGTTTTAAATGTGAATATAAATTATGTCGACAATGCTGTAGGAACAAATGTTATATAGAAAATTTAGACTGTGCTGGTCACAGAAATCTAACTAAAACTAGAAGACAGATGGCGAAAGAATTCGAGGCAAAACGTAAGGAAGTTCAAGATATAACATGATACTGTATATTAAAATATTTTAAATAAAACTATATATATGTATGTAATATTTTGACTTTTGATTTCTATTTGAATTTTTTCAATTATCATCTTTGAAGATAACTGAAACGTCTTTATGAAAATACTTAACGTCATTTTTGTTTTTATTGATTACTAGATTTACACAAATTCAGCATGTTGATTTATGTCTACAATCTGTTTTATACAGTATTATATTGCGAAAAGCTAATGAGGTAATATAGAAATCTCATAGAGATGTGAAATTTATGACGATTTTGTATAATTTGTACTATCACTGATGAGTTCAATAGTGATGAAATTATCACTATACAGACGAAGTTGCTGTAGCGATAGGTGCTGTGAAAATAGTCAATAAATCATTTTTCTTTGTTGATTCGCTATAATTAGATTCGATTTTATCTCCCTGTTTCTCAGTATTGGCCCAATATTTTTTGCTCGAGAAAATCAACATCATCAACAAAGGTAGATGAAGTAATGAAAATCGAAATAATCTCCTAGAATTAGCACTATCCGAATGCTCATTAAATTTCCAAGCTGAAATTAAAAATCCATAATTACCATTAAAAGTATCTCAAGTTTTAGACAAATACAGTATATAAAATAATTAGATCAATTAAATTTAAAAAAAGTGTAAGTATAAATCATATATGCTTTTTTTACCTAGATACAGGAAAGATGCATTGACTGGTGTTGAGGTTAGTGCAAACCACCAATGAGTTACATCCAATATAGGAGCTAAATAACACAAACTTGTTAGAATTGCTGTGTATCTCCAAGATGTTTTACGGCATAGATCTGGATTTGTAACAGCCATCATTCGGTAGCCAGCTCGTGAATAATCCGGCCTCAAGTTCCACGAAAGAGCATTAAAATGTGGAAATTGCCATGCATATAAAATACCAGGCAAGATCCAAGCACTTGGTGTCAATATGCTACCAGCACAACCTGCCCAGCCCATAAGAGGAGGAATAGCTCCTACTGCAGAGGAAATAATATAAGATATAATATTGTGATATATTTATAAAAAATATTACCGACTTACCAACAGAGCCAATCCATGTGTTGACAATACTGATACGTTTCATGGGAGTATATACGAGTGTATATAAAACAAGATTGGTAGCACCCAGCACTGCCGTGATAGCATTTACTTCGTAATAGAGTATAGATAATCCAACAATACCAGATACCGCTGCAAATGCTACTGCATGAACAGGCCTGATGATATATATGTACATTCAATCTGTACTCAATATCGAGCTACATAAATATAAGTTATATCATAATAACTAATTAAAGATTTAAAGAACTCACGTCAAATGACCACGTACTAATACTCTATTTTTTGTTCGCGACATTTGTGCATCAAAAGGAACTTCAAAAAATTGATTTATTGCATTTGCAGTAGCGGAGACTAAACCTGTGCCCAAAGAACACATTGCAAATGTATAAAAGTCGAATGGTGCAGGAGCTAATGCATATCCAGCCATAGTTGTTGCTACAACAAGAGCTACAGAAAAGAATAACACTTGCTTATTGAATATTCAAATACTTATGGATCTGTTTGCAATCTTATCAATCAAGTATTACGAATGGAAAATCTATTTCAAATTATAATAATTGCAACTATAATTTTAAATTGATACAAGATTAATATGCATACATGTTAATTTAATCTTTGACAATTTGAGATAATGCTTATGTAGCTTGGTATAATCGATCATTATAGGTGTCCATTCTGATTCTTTTACTTCAGGTGGACTTTTATCAATTTTATTTGCATTATTTTTTTTAGCAAAGAAAGGAATTGTTGAAGTCGTTGCACCAATTTGCAATCGACTGTCTTTCACAATTTGTACTGATTTTTCCATGCACATTGTCTTTGTTGACTTTTGCCTTTGAGAACCAGAACACTAAAATCAAATAATTTTTCTTTTTTTAAGAATAGAGAACAATATATATAATAAACTCTCTAAATTTAATCTGAATATTACAAACCATGATGGAAAATTTTGGCACAAAGCTGCATACGTGCCGACAATTTTTTAATGAATGAATAATAAATAACATGATAGCACCTTAATTCTAATCAACTGTTTAATTCCATCAACCTAAATATAAAATAAAATAAGTGCAAGGATAATTCTAACCTAGTCTCGTAACTGGTCATAACCTATATGTAGATACAAGCGGAAAGATCGCCCAGATTTTCTTAATTTTCAGTTAATGACAATTTTATACCTACATTTTCGTGTGTTAATATGATTTCTATTATTAACATACATTCATCATACGTAATTGTAACGATAATTGTGAGAGTATTTTTTAAATTATCGAAGAGCCGTACGTAATCATACGTAACTTTCCACCACTACAAATTTCTATACTAGCGGTGCATTTTTCAAGGTTATATATACATATATATATATATATATATATATATATATATATATATATATATATATATATATA